AGTAAGCGTAATACGACAATACGATGACCCGGAAAAGCTAAATGAGGGGTGTGCTTAAGATCGCCAACTCAAGGGGTGCGTTTAAGTTACACGGTGTGCTGGAATCGCCCAATGGGAGCGTAATTAAGATATGTGGTGAGGGGCTATGATGACCGGAATCGCAAAATGAGGGCGAAGTGAACCGGAATCGCCAACAAAGAAGGCGTGTTTGTTCAAGATACTTAATTGAGATTGCGAACAACACCCATATACGTGACCGCATGTCGAGCGCTTCAAACTCTGAAACTTTTCAAACTCGAACTTTCAAACTGTCAAACTCTCGAACTTTCAAGCTCGAAACTCAGCGGACTTTCAAACTTTGCATCTCGACGCGCTTCAAACCTTCAAACTTTGCAAACTTTCAATCTTTCGAACTCTCAAACTCGCGAACTTTCATCCCTTTCAAACTTTCGATCTCTGAAACTTTCAAACCTTCGAACATGAAACCTTTCGAAGTTTGAAACCTTCGAACTTTCAAACTCGTCACCTCAGCCCAAGCCGAAGAGGAAATCTGAAGCCAACCTTTCAAACTCCGAACTTTCGAACTTTCAAACTTTCGAACTTTGAAACTTTCGAGCTTTCAAACTTTCGATCGTTCGAACTTTCAAAGTTTGAAACCGTCGAACCTTCGAATTTGCAAACTTTCAAAGTCTCGAACTCTCAAACTTCGAAGGCCGATCGAACTCGCCCGCGGGAAAAGTTTGAAGTTTGAGTTTCAAGCAGCCAGTCGAGCTTGAAAGTTCGAGAGTTTGAAAGCTTGAAAGTTTGAAAGTTTCGAGTTCGAAAAGTTCGAAGTTTGACCGCGGCTAGCTTGTGCACACCAAGGTGCACAAACTTTCGAACTTCAGCACTTTTCGAACCTTCAAACCTTCAAAGCTTGAAACTTTCAAACTTCAACCTCCAAACTCTCAAACTTTCAAACCTTCGAGTTCGAACGACCTCGCTCGCGACACCATTCAAGAAGGATGCTCTCTTCTGCTGCCACAAATCACCTGGGGACTGCCTTCTTGTGTTTTGGAGCATGAGGTCTTTTCCTTTTAAATGCTGAGGGACGACCAGATGTCTCTATTTGAAAATTGGGGGGAGCTCCACCCTTTCTTCTTGAGTTGGGGGGAGCTCCACCCTTTCTTCTTGAGTGTATGCTCTCTTCCATCTTTAAAACGGCGACGGAAACAATCAGGACCCCCTCCCCATATCAGGAAAGAAAGGAGGTCTCTTCTTGCCGAAGGGTAAACGGTGCCCTCTTCTTTCTCATGAAATTAGAGCGGCCTGTTTGCTTTGTTGAGATGGCGCTTTCTTTTGTACCATTAGTTTGGAGGACGCTCTCAGTCTCTTCTTGTCGAGGATGAGGCAGAGGATTTGTCTTTTTGGAAGCTAATTCAGAGCATGGGGTAGAGGGCTGCTCATGTCTTGTTGAAGGGTGAGGGGAGGATCAGACTTTTCTTTTGAAGATTGAGCGAGCTCTGTCCTCACTTCTTGAAAGCTATCCCTCTTCTATCCCTTGAAGAGGAAGAGGGGACGACAAGGAGCTCCTCTCTCTTCTTGTCGACGAAGAGGCAGCCGCAGTTCTTATTGAAACTGGAGATGCGTTGAGCCTTGTCTTCTTCGACTAGAAGCGAGCTCCCTTCAATTCTCTTCAGAGGAGATGGAGACCTACCAAGAGAGAGAGGAGCTCGCTGCTAGAAATCAGCTGAATGACTTGGAGGGACTCTCTCCGTGTTTTCGTTGAGGGGTGGGGCATCGCCGCCCTTTCTTCTTGAGCGTATGCCCTTTTCCATCTTTTGAAAAGGTAAGGGAAGTAATCAGGATCTCTTTCCACTGCCAAGAGAGAAAGGAGGTTTCTTCTTCTTGTGCGTATGCTGTTCTCCATCTTTTGAAAAGGTAAAAGAAATGCTCAAGATCCAACCCCTTATGAAGAGAGAAAGGAGTTATCTTCTTTCCGACCGATGGGTAAACGGAGACCTTTGAATTCTCGTGAAGTTGGAGGGGCCTGTCTGCTGGGCTGAGATGAAGCTCTCTTGCGTCTCATTACATGGGAGGAAGCTCTCAGTGATTTCTTGTGGAGGATGAGGTAGAAAATCTTTCTTTTTGGAAGCTAGGGGAGCTCTGTCCTTTCTTGCTAGGAGCGAGGTCTCTTCAGTCTTCTTAAGACGAAAAGGCGACATACCAAGAGGTAAGAAGGATGCTCTCTTCTGCTGCCACAAATCACCTGGGGACTGCCTTCTTGTTTTGGAGCATGAGGCTTTTTCCGTTTAAATGCTGAGGGATGACCAGATGTCTCTACTTGAAAATTGGGGGAGCTCCACCCTTTCTTCTTGAGCGTCCTCCCCTTTTCAAGAAAGAATGGAGGTCTCTTCTTGCCGAGGGGTAAACGGGGCCCTCTTCTTTTTTGTGAAGTTGGAGCGGCCTGTTTGCTATGTTGAGATGGCGCTTTCTTCTGCCGCCTTAGATTGCTCTTAGTCTCTTCTTGTCGAGGATGAGGCAGAGGATTTTTTTGGAAGCTAATTCAGAGGATGGGGTAGAGGGCTGCTCATGTCTTATTGAAGGCTAAGGGGAGGATCAGACTCTTCTTTTGAAGATTGAGACAGCTCAGTCCTCACTTCTTGAAAGCTATCTCTCTTCTATCCCTTGAGGAGGAAGAGGGGACGACAAGGAGCTCCTCTCTCTTCTTGTCGACTGAGAGGCAGCCGGAGTTCTTTTTTTCCCGTGAAGTTGGAAGGGTTCTCTGCTCATTTGAGATGCTGCGGTAGAGGATGTGCCAAGGGATCTCTTCCTTACCTTTTTGGGGAAAAGAAGCTCATTTCTTGCGGATGACGAAGCAGCGAGCTCCCTTCATTTATCGTCAGAGGAGATGGTGGGAGGAAGCTCTCAGTGATTTCTTGTGGAGGATGAGGTAGAAAATCTTTCTTTTTGGAAGCTAGGGGAGCTCTGTCCTTTCTTGCTAGGAGCGAGGTCTCCTCAATCTTCTTAAGACAAAAAGGCGACATACCAAGAGGTAAGAAGGATGCTCTCTTCTGCTACCACAAATCACCTGGGGACTCCCTTCTTGTTTTGGAGCATGATGTCTTTTCCTTTTAAATGCTGAGGGATGACCAGATGTCTCTACTTGAAAATTGGGGGAGCTCCACCCTTTCTTCTTGAGCGTCCTCCCCTTTTCAAGAAAGAAAGGAGGTCTCTTCTTGCCGAGGGGTAAACGGAGCCCTCTTCTTTCTCGTGAAGTTGGAGCGGCCTGTTTGCTTTGTTGAGATGGCGCTTTCTTCTGCCCCTTTAGATTGCTCTTAGTCTCTTCTTGTCGAATCCTCGAGGCAGAGGATTTTTTTGGAAGCTAATTCAGAGGATGGGGTAGAGGGCTGCTCATGTCTTATTGAAGGCTAAGGGGAGGATCAGACTCTTCTTTTGAAGATTGAGACAGCTCAGTCCTCACTTCTTGAAAGCTATCTCTCTTCTATCCCTTGAGGAGGAAGAGGGGACGACAAGGAGCTCCTCTCTCTTCTTGTCGACTGAGAGGCAGCCGGAGTTCTTTTTTCCCGTGAAGTTGGAAGGGTTCTCTGCTCATTTGAAATGCTGCGGTAGAGGATGTGCCAAGGGATCTCTTCCTTACCCTTTTGGGGAAAAGAAGCTCATTTCTTGCGGATGACGAAGCAGCGAGCTCCCTTCATTTATCGTCAGAGGAGATGGTGGGAGGAAGCTCTCAGTGATTTCTTGTGGAGGATGAGGTAGAAAATCTTTTTTTTGGAAGCTAGGGGAGCTCTATCCTTTCTTGCTAGGAGCGAGGTCTCCTCAATCTTCTTAAGACGAAAAGGCGACATACCAAGAGGTAAGAAGGATGCTCTCTTCTGTTGCCACAAATCACCTTGGGACTCCCTTCTTGTGTTTTGGAGCATGAGGTCTTTTCCTTTTAAATGCTGAGGGATGACCAGATGTCTCTACTTGAAAATTGGGGGAGCTCCACCCTTTCTTCTTGAGCGTCCTCCCCTTTTCAAGAAAGAAAGGAGGTCTCTTCTTGCCGAGGGGTAAACGGAGCCCTCTTCTTTCTCGTGAAGTTGGAGCGGCCTGTTTGCTTTGTTGAGATGGCGCTTTCTTCTGCCCCTTTAGATTGCTCTTAGTCTCTTCTTGTCGAGGATGAGGCAGAGGATTTTTTTGGAAGCTAGTTCAGAGGATGGGGTAGAGGGCTGCTCATGTCTTATTGAAGGCTAGGGGGAGGATCAGACTCTTCTTGTGAAGATTGATACCAAGCCGCCGAAGAGTCTGCCGGCGACTTCTCGCTCGAAGCGCTGGCCTGGAAGCCGCATATCGATCAGAACGATCGGCGGCCGCGTTGGCCTTAGCGCGGGCTCAGCCACGACATTTCAGCATCGCACACGAAACCCGGACAGCTCAGTCCTCACTTCTTGAAAGCTATCTCTCTTCTATCCCTTGAGGAGGAAGAGGGGACGACAAGGAGCTCCTCTCTCTTCTTGTCGACTGAGAGGCAGCCGGAGTTCTTTTTTTCCCGTAAGTTGGAAGGGTTCTCTGCTCCTTTGAGATGCTGCGGTAGAGGATGTGCCAAGGGACCTCTTCCTTACCCTTTTGGGGATAAGAAGCTCATTTCTTGCGGACTTGCGGATGACGAAGCAGCGAGCTCCCTTCATTTATCGTCAGAGGAGATGGAGACTTACAGGGAGGTAGAGGAGCTCGCTGCTAGGAATCAGCTGAATGATTTGGAGGGACTTTCTCCGTGTTTTCGTTGAGGGTTGGGGGGAATCTCCACCCTTTCTTGATCCGTCTGTCTACATTCCAAGGAGCCCCACCAATGTCGATGAGGCGAGACGAAAGATTCTATACTTGTATTGAGTATGTATAGAGAGACGTCGGTCCAGTACAATCGCGATATACCTACGTCTATAGTATGCAATGAAAACCCACAGTTTCAGCTGGCGACTATATCCTGTTTAAGCCGGCCACCCCCCCCCCCGGCTTGCCTTGTCAGACTCCTTGGGCTCCTCCTCTTCACCTTCCTCCCCTTCCAGGAGATCGTCGTCGTCGTCCTGCACAGCGCAGCTGTCTTCAAAGGTCGTCTTCGGGTCATGGTCTGCCTGGCTCGTGCTGTGATCGTTTGCCACTTGAACCTGCTTAGCCATCTTCCACGGTTTCTGATGGCAAAGTCCCCACCCGGAAAAGCCTTCCCTCAAGCCCCAAATCCATCCACGCTTCTGAAACTCAAATCTGTCGTCGGCGCCTCCATTGCGGCAGCCTTGGCCTTCGCGGCCTCCTTGGGCGATGCTTTCGGGGCTGCCTTCGGAGAGCTCTTCGGTGCCGCCTGGCCAGCCGATCATGTCAACACTTCGAACACTCAAAATAGCTGAGCTACACATTGACATTGACCATGCTTCACACATCGTATGACACTTCTGTCGCTGTGCCCACCTTGGGCGAAGACTTGGGCTCTGCCTTCGCCTTTGGCGAGCCCTGGGCATTGTGGAAGATGCCGAAAAAGGTGTGTCCGTGTCAGCACAAAAGCAGGACTTCTTTGACTGCCTGTGGTGCTGCAGGTGGAAGGTCATCCTGCAAGCTGGTGCCATGCGGGCTTCTTTTCCCCGAAAATCCTAATGAGTTTGAGTTTTCCGACCAACAAAAGCTTCGGAAGCCAGCCTCGTCGAGCTCATCTGCCTCGAAGTAACCCGTTAGGTGAACGGTGGCCTCGCCAGCCGGAAACTCCAGATCAAGAGAGAATCCGAGTAGCATGATTGCGTGCGAGTATGCACAAGAAGATTCACACTGCTCAGCTCCCCATGACACGGAAGGGCAGGCCGCAGGCCTTGCCCTTGACTGCGATCTTCGCCTCTTTGGCATCAAGAAACAAGTCCAGGGCGCAGAACTCCTGGCGAGGCTCCGAGGTGGGCAACGCTGACAGACTCCCTAGGGGGAAACGCGCGCTTCCGCCGCGCCTGCCCTCCCTCCTTGAGGCAGGCGACGGCATAGGTCTGACCTCACGGAAGCTGCACTTCACTGGGAGGGAAGCATGCGAGAGATTTTGTAACCTTCGCAGCGCGTATGCGAGCTTCTTCTCAAGCTAAGGGCTCTGAGTTGTGCAGCTCTCTTGTAGGTGCCTGGGAGCTCCCGCGGTCCCGCGACCAGCAGGACTAGAAGCCTGAGGCAACCTGAGGCACCTCGATCACTGCCTTCAATCATACCAGCCAGCTTTTGCCCCCAACGGGGAAGTCGCCGCTCCATCACCTGGGACAGATCCTGCTCCATGAATCCAAGCCGAGCGCGGCTTTCCATCACGGTGCAACAGGTCGAGACCAGTTGTGTCCGCTCAGTCTGTGCAATCACAGTTGCTGCAAACATTCTCGCAGATGAAGCAGAAACATCTGCTGTAGCGGGTTCCGAAGCATACCAGGACGTACTCGACGCATCCAGGCGATGGCTTCTCGCAGACTTTGGTGGCCTCCTGCCGATGTCATGAGCAAGGCGGCCACCAGCGTCCCTGTTCTTCCCTTCCCCCCATGGCAATGGACCAGCACCCGGCTCCCGGAACGCAGGTATCTCTTCAAGGGAAGTATCAGGCAAGACAAGTATGCCTGAGAGTTCCATGGAATCCACTTGTCACGAAGGTCGAAGTGAATCCACACCATTCCTTCAGCTTCAACACATGCCCCCATGCTCTGACAGCTCATTGATGCGAGCTCTGTTGACGAGAGCAGCGTCACCACGATGTCCACTCCATAGTGATGCCTCAGGCGCGACACGTCTGCACTCAGGCTGCGGTAACAATTCCGGGTGCGGCGGCCTGGAGCATGAGACATTAAGATCTCACCGCCGCCGTTCAGCTGAAGAATGTCCGTCTGATATGGGATAGAATCTTCAGAGCTTGGTGAATGCACTTTCTCTGAGTTGCATCCCAAGATCCAGGTCCCGCCGAGCAAGGCGACACCACTGAAAGCCACGAAATACAGCAGGACTGCACAGCACGTACAGAGAGCATCCGCGCAGGAATTTGCTACGATGATGCCACATAGGGCGAAGAGCAGCGACATAACCGGCAGGAGCACAACGGGGTGTGTCCAACATCTTGGATCCGACGGCTCCACCTCCTGATACAAAGCCTGAGCACTTGTCATTACCAGTGTCGATCTGGATGGGATGTCGCCTTCCCGTAGGATGTATGCTCCGGCAAGCCGGGCTCATAGGTCTGGCACGGCCAGTTGGCAGAGCGATGCAGGTTTCTGAGCTGGAGCCCAGGCAGTGCAAAGCTGAAAACTTGTGTGCGAGGCCCACTCGTTGAGGCATGACTTTTTCACTTTGACCTACCACTTCAGAGCAACCGTGCTGAGTGTCGGGCCAGTCTGCTCCACGAGAACTTTTGAAGAGGCTCCGCTGGGAGTGTCTGGCGCTAAGCACGCCTGAACAGCTGCTCCGACTCTAGGGTGATCTCAGCGGACTTTCAAAATGTGCGACAGAATGGGATCGCCAGCAGCACCGTGTAAAATGAGTATCAACGCCGTTCAATCTGGCTACCTTGCAAGTCTACAGCTGCTGAAGGCACTTTTTCAAAAAACCTCTAGTTGCTTGGCCAGTCAACCGTTCAAGCATGGCTGCAAGTGAAGCATGAAAATGTCCCTTGGAGGCTGCATTCAAAGAACACTTTGCTGTACAGCTCGCCGCAAGCAACATGAGCCTGGGACAGGTGAAGAAGTTCGCCTGCCTTTGTCTCAACCTGTGCAACGTCCAACGGCTTATGAAGGCATGTTCATATTATTGGATGGCACACTCAACTCAGCAAACTCGCAGCCTTCTTGGTCTCACCTGGAGCCACAATACAGCCCCAGAACATGTCCTTGGACAGAAAGGTAAGTTGAGCCACGGATGTTGGCAAGAAGGGGTGCCGCGCACAAGTGCAGCTAGGACACAGCAAGTGCCCAAAGAGCAAGATGATGGGAAGGTTGAGCCAGGACAAACGACTGCGCGGCCGAGCAAGCCTTTGAGATCTTGTTGCTTCTACACCGGGCAACTGCTACTGCTCTCAAACTCTGCACTCGAGAAGTTGCACACCCTGGCAGAGTCCAGCACCTTGCCAGACCTGAGGGCGAAAGGAGCATGGAGATATGCCGTCTGAACGTGTTTACAAGCTCATCTCACGATTTCATTCACAAGCTTATCCCATTGTGGCACTTGCCTACTCTTCGGGCAGCTTTGATGTGGGAACAACACAGCAAAGCCACCCCCCGCCCCACATACTTCAGCGAAGACAGGGGCCCGGACAGCTTGGCCCCACGCGACGAGGGAGCTTATCTTTTTTTTGAGCCAAATCACCAGACATTCACTCGCAATACAGCAGGATGCATCCTCTAACAAGAAGTGTGAACTGCCTGCTTGTTGCACTACAATCCCAATAAACAAGCCCCACATGTGTGCCTGGACCCTCATTCGGTGCATGTCGGGTAGAAGGACGGGATGCCAGCATCAGGATCTACTGGTGGCGATGATCGCTGTCATGCGCACAAGCCTAAGCAAGCCAAACACGTGCTGTCTAGGGATGCTCCAGGTAGCATTCCGACGAAAGTACACGGTCTTCGTTCGGCCCCTGAAGCCCGCGTTGACCACCTCTTACATGGCTTACTGCAACAGTCAACGATTGTGCGAGGTCGATGCTGAAGGTTGTTTCAATGACAGTGAATCAACAAACGCAGCTTTTCCAAGAGGCAAGGGCTGCAATGCGCAGAATGCGTTAACACGGGCCATGCTTTGGGCTGCTTTCGCAATCGGAGCAGTCAGAACCCGGACCTACCCCGGCCACAGGTGGGCCTTGCAGGTAAGACTACGACGCATTATCGGATTGTGAGACTGAAATATAAAGGCGTTTCTTTGACCGCCTACAAAATACAATCTTTCCAGCGATGTTCCACAGTCACACGATCGAAGCTGGCCAACAGCTCTTCTGCCTTCAACATCTTCAAATAAAAGCATGTTCCTCTCACGACCGGGTTCACTAGTGGGACTCCAGAAGTAGGTACCGATCGCTTCTCAGAGCAACGCCACCCAGATGGTTGCCACTTGCCCTCTCGCTGGTCGAACTCTTGCAACCAACACGAACCGCACAAAACAACGCACCTTAATCCTGGCATGCGCATACGCACGGGTTCTGGAAGCCCATGTGCAAACTCCGATTCGTCTGCAGATCTGCTCGACTTCGTCCCGCCTCCGCGGTGCAGCTCTGCCGCATCAATGGCTTTCGCAAGGCCTTTCTTTAGGGCAACCAGAATGAGACGGGCTGGGAAGCGCTCACGGTTGAAGCACAAGTAAGGAAGAGTCTGCAGTTGGGGGACAGCTCTCGCATCCGTCCGTGAGGGATGCTTGGCTTATGCTTGCCAGGATGCAGGTCAAGCCACGGACGACTGGAATGCTTTCCATTTTACGATCAGCTGTTAAAGACTCTGCTGTTGCGTGTCACTTTGGCTTTCTTGCAAGCAGAGACTGTACGTGCTACAGACCCTAAACTCTGCAGTTGAACTCTGGAGTGGGAAAATCCGAGTGACGCAAGGGGCTTGAGTGCGGCTCCAAACCAGTATTCCGAATCTGGTCCAAAGAAGCAAGGCCGAACTCCTTGAGCTTTGACCTGGTCTCGCTCATGGCCCAACCCCTAAACCTAAACACCGTTCGCTCAAGCCGTGACTTAGCCTCGTGGCCCGTGCCTGAGCCTGTGCCCTGAAACCGACAAACTAAATCTGAGACTGTTAGCTAGTATGATGTACTACACTGTACTATAATAGCGACGACTGACGACCAAAGACAGCACATCGTTGCAAGTCCAAGTGGCTGTTACACGGTCAAGCAGAAGTCCCGTCTCGACCACTTGCAAACGGCGCTGCAGAGCCCTCTCCTTGATAAGAAAATCACTTGCGAACCCGGGGCACAAAATGCGCATAGACTATGCAAAGGATGAGAAGCATACTGCTTTCTACAGGACACGATCGGCCACGGTGGGCGAGCGTATGTGCCGGCGCACCGAAACGTGGAAGACGGAAGACAACTGTCTGGTTCTTAGTAGGGAACGGGGAACAGATTATCGAGACTGTCGGGACTATATAGGGGCTACTTTGGGGATACATTCTCCCCTTCCCTACTAAGAACCAGACAGACAAAAGGCCCCCCCGGCAGGTCCTGCGGAAGCAGTGCTGCGAGGCGAAGCACCGCACGGAGAAGCGCTGGCCGCCGCCTGGAGGGAAGCTGATCATTCTCATTCGCAATACTGTTGTTATCAGTGGTAGTAGTGTTATTAGTAGTAGTAGTAGTAGTAGTAGTAGTAGTAGTAGTAGTAGTAGTAGTAGTAGTAGTAGTAGTAGTAGGAGTAGTAGTAGTATCATTCTTATGATTATTGTAGTAGTACTATAATTAGTAGTATTAGTATCATTAATAGTATTATTATTATGATTATGATTATGATTATGATTATGATTATTATTATTATTATTATTATGATTATGATTATGATTATGATTATGATTATTATTACTACTACTATTATTATTATTAATATTATTGTTATTATTATGATTATTAGTAGTAGTAGTAGTAGTAGTAGTAGTAGTAGTAGTAGTAGTAGTAGTAGTAGTAGTAGTAGTAGTAGTGTCCTATTTGCTGCTTCTCTCTTCTATGTTGAATCCTCTTTGGGGCTGGAGTTGTTACGGTTCACCCGGCATTGAACGAAATCGTCACCTCTCCCATTTTGGTGTCGGTGGCTTTCAGCCCCTCAAATTGGGCGGCATAGTCATCCAGAAGTTGTGCGGTGCGAAGCATACCTTTACTAGCTGTTGCTGGTTGAACGGTTGCTTCTGTTGGTTGATTGTTGTCTCGTTCGGGCTGCACCGAAGCTTTGTTCACTCGCTTCCTATCGGCCAAGCCGTTAGCAGATTCAGAGACCTAATGCTACAGTTTGTCAAAAAATGTATGCTGACCGGCAGAGGCTGTCACTCTGGCTTACTAATATGTTGCGCCGCTTCAGCCATCTTCATGCCATTTGATTTTTGGTGCTACGTCCTAGTGACAAAGTTGCTGCTGTGTCTTCTCGCAAGAAACCTGCTTCTTCGATCATTCATGATGGGTCTTTCCTTCTATCGCGTTCAACTCCAGCATGGTTTGGATGCTCGTGCGGCTATTTGAGCATAGCGGGTAAACAATCCTTCCATCTGAGAAGAGCCAGCGGGAAAGGGCAACCTCGTCTTCATTCCGGTGGTCTTCTTGCGAACACCATGCTTCGACTTTGTTCTTCCCCGGCAGTGCGGCACTGAACGTTCCGTAGGTGAGGGTCGGCGAGAAGAGTGGCCAGAGAGAGACAGGACACAGGGACAGAGGGACAGAGCAGAGCAGAATGGTGGACTTTCTGTCCGAAGCCTTCGTCGATTCATCGAAAACATCAGATTCTGTTTTGCTGAGTTCAATCGCAATAGGTCCCTTTGGGTGCTCTGTCACACTTCGCATAGCAGCAGGCAATCCAATCTTTGAACTTTCACAGCTTCAACTCCTTCGCCGTGGCGCACCTGGTCAGCAGCTGCAGCCGTACGTCGCTGAAGACCTGCAAGCTGTAGGTATGGAAGCGACGACCGAGACCTCGATTCCAAGCCCAACCCAAAGCCAGAGAAGTCGGCCGGAGACTCCAACAGCTCGACGAAGTGCTTGAGCTGCTCCTGACAGTCGCATCGACTGGTCCAAAACCGCCTACACCTGGAGGACGCAAACGAGGAAGAGCAAAGCTGAATGCGAGTTCCGAGGCCTCAATCTCCTCTGTTCGCTGCATCGTGGCAAGCCTGCTTGGAAGTTAGAAATGGCTGCGGCTAGATCTGGTGCTGTCTATCACTCTGAACGCCAGGTATGCCGTCTTTCAGAACGAGTTGACTACTTGGAGGATCATGGGACTTAGTAAGTAAGGTTATGAGTACCTTAATTGGGGTTAGAAGTCATCGTAAGTATGGTTACCTTGTTTATAAGCCCGGTTCCTAAGTCCCATGATCCTTTAAGTATGCCGGGCCCGGCGGGCCCGGTAGTGCCAACCTCGTGGCCAACTGTGCAGCGAGCTCGTACCTCGGACGGCGAAGTCCGAAATCCCCGAAATGCGCGTTGAGAGCCCCGACTGGAACTTAGCTGAATCTCCCGACGGTGTCTGATCTGTCTGCACTGCGCTATTGCTACAACCGCACCGCCTTTGCAAGGTTCCCGTCCCGTCGCATCGAACACCCATGAATTATCTGATCGGATCAAAGGCCCGACATCCGGAAGACTTGGGCCCGAACCAGTTCATCCAGAAGCTAAGCGCCAGCGAACTGACAGGGCAACACCTTGAGTCAAGGACAGAGCCGGACGGAGTTTCGGGGTGGGCAAGAGTCGGTTCAATCAGAAGGGGTGCTTGATGCAACTACGCCAGCTAGCTGCGGCGCCGAGCCCCTGACAGCCACGACTTCATCAGAATCATCCTGATGGCCAGCAGTAGCTCGCCACTTCGCCCGCAGCTTTGCAATCCAAAGGTCACTTCGCAAAGTGACAGGAAGCTAGAAAAACACGAACACTGAAGGGCGTACGGAAAGCTTGCCGAAGCGACTTGGCCACTGGACTCTGCGCGGAGCTGAGCCTCACCACAGCACACTACGCTGACCATCACGCGTCTCTTCTCCAGAGCCGGAGCTGCAAATCCAAGAATCTGAATGGTCTGGGCTTGGCACACGAAACTTTTGAGTCTCTGGACCAGTCAGCAGACCACGATTCAGAACCTCCCAAAGGCCCGGGTTTCTGATGCGAGGAACTGTCTATGCGTGCCTGCCGTCAGCCTACACCTTGCATCTTCTCAGAGCTTTTTGAAAGGCAACGCGCCTGCACGAGGTTTCGTGCAAAGGGTGGGTCCTTCCAGGAAGACTGGGAGCTAGGGAGAGGTTGCAAACAAGCTCATCATACTCTGTGACCGTGACCGTGTCAGCCTCGAAATGACCCTGCTTGTCCATTCAATGTGAACAGGGATCAATGCTTTCGCGTCGGTCCCGCCTCTATGGTTTCGAGCGTCTTAGCAGCTGTGGCCTTGAGGTCATATCTGGAAGGTTACCCTCCTGATACTTGCTACGAACAGCCTGCAGCTTCGGTGCGCCCCCAAGAGCACAAGATTGAGTGCGCGACGAAGAATCGCTTGGCGTCTACACCTCTGAGTTATTCGAGGCCCGCACACCCTTGAAGATGAACCCTTGACCATAGCTCTTTTGATGATACAACATGATTTTTATTTTCGGTTCTTGTTGCGACAAGTCACACCCTGAGGCCCCGGACGTTTGCACATCAACCGGATGATGAGCTCACCTCTACCTGGGTCTGCCAACTTTGCTCCGTCTAGGTCTGCGAGTCCGACTCGGAAGCAGGCGCGTGAGTAGACTCTGCTGCTTTTTCATGAGGTCGAAGAGTCTTTCGCACATATGGCCAACCAGATCGTCACCTGCGTTCCGCTTGCTCTGCTTTCGACTCGATGTGGCTTTGCTGCCTTTTCCCAGCGTCTCCGCCGTGGACGCCAACTGCGCCATAAAACGTAATGCCGTGGAGGCCACCTCTTCACAGCGCTCTTTCGCAGGTACATTACATTCGTTGATGGAAACACAGGCCGCCGGCCTCCTCCTCCTCACGCAACAAAGCCTGGCTCAGGTGTATCGCAACATGATGCAGCAAGATTTGCGTGCAAACCAAGCCGGAAAATACAAAGACGGAAGGCAACATCAAGGCTGCTCCCAAGTAGGGAGTGTGCCTTCTCCGCCGCTTCGAAAAATTTGCCTCGGACCTGCTTGGAAGGTTTCGATGTGCCGCGGGGTACAAAACGAAAGCACTTTTCCAGCCTCAGGTTCCACCACTCGCGCAGGGCACCTGCAATAAGTCGCTTGACCGCCAGAGCGCTGGAGGGCGTGTCCCCAGAGACTCCAGTGCCCTTTAATTACGGATTATACCTTATGAGTGATTAGGGATCCTAGTATATTCCTTAATTAAACGACATTGGATTCTCTGAGTTCCTTCCAAGGCGGCAACTTGTCCAAGAGTGTATCAGCCCAACCTCACAGGAGTGAAGCGGATTACGGACTGCCTTTGTCCATGGCGGATCACAATCCAAGCTGAACTCGACTGTGGGCCGAACCCAGGCACTTCAGCAAGACTTCTCTGCTGCGTTCCTGCACGATGGCAACGACAAGACAGAAGCATCAAGGATTGTGCCATAGCTACTTCAAAAGGCACCCACCTTTCTCGCTTCCCCGATCATCGCAACATCAGGATGTGTACGTCAGACTAGGACTTCGGGGTGCCTGTCCGCCCACGTCAGACATCGCACAGATGACCGCGCTCGCCATCTGCTCGACAGGCAAGTCACCTCAGCGGATACTCAGGCAGTTCAGAAAGCGAAAAGTGACACGGGCGACGGAGGTTCAGCTGTCAGAGATCATGCGCCCGAAGTCTGAACCGGCTCCCTCCGGCACACTGCACCCAGGCCGGCTGAGTGAAGGAGCTGAAATGAAACGAACACTGGAAGAGGGAAAGCCGGAATTCCCCTGACCCGGGTTGTCCGTGCCCTGGGTGTTTAGGTGGTGTGATACCGTACATTGGGGTTCCCTTCGCTCTGCAAAACCACTGAGGCCCCAAAAGATTTCGCGAACACCTGACACGACAAGAGGCCCATCAAAGATTTCGTTCCTGTGCTTTTAGGGCGGACGGGACACTCACGAAGCGGAGACCCTGCACTGCACTGCCAACTTCGACTCCAAGTCTTTTTTGTGCCCCGGCAGCTTGAAGTCAGGACCCCATAACCAAAGCACCTGTGCACTGGTGCTCTATGGAGCGGTCCCTTGCGAGCGGGCAGCCGCTTGAACTCGGCAACACACCACAAAAATGAAGAGATGCGGATCTCTCTCTTTTTGTATGCACTTCCGTCGACGCCACGTCCAACTCTGAAGGCAGCGAGGTCTTGCAGCTGAGCGCTGCACTGAGGAAAGTATTTCTGAGGCACGGAATCAAATTTTCTGGAGTGCTTGTTCGCCTAGGCACAAACGGCGGTCCGGTGGCGTTTTATGGTTTTTTCCACGATCCCGTGTTGGATCTGCTGTGGACGCCGATTTCATTGTAAAATAATCAAGGCTCACGAATTACCACGTATGCGTTTTGAGGTTGTTAGGCGGGAATCGCACGGTGCATTTCGGTCTTCGAAGTGCTCCAAGCTGCTCAAGCCCTGAGACGACCAGACCATTTGCCTCCTCGGGGCTCCTAGGTGTGTGGTCTGAAAATCTCGCCGTTCTGTGGGACTGTGCTCTTGCCACAATGCCGTGCGATGCCGTGCGTATTTAAGGGTGCGTGTTGTGTTCCGCCTCGTACACATTGGGGTGGGACTTGTGTTCCCACTACAGTGCGGTGCGGGGTCTTGGTGCGTATCATGCTCGCGCCACTGGAGCCTGAGGGGTGCTCCAGAATATGCGCCTCGGTCCGCATCTGAAATTACTACTTGGAGCTTCCGTTTGCTGACACGCCTCTTGGCCAGAAGAGATTGCGTTTGCTGGTCGCTGAACCGCCTCCGCATCCTCCGCATTCCGTGTCTTGGAATCTCCGGGCCGGGCTCCCGGCTCTCAAGCTTCAAGGTCTCCTGCAGCAGCATGGCATTGGCCTTGCAGGACTAAACTCGTCTGAGGCATTATTCAGACGCCCGGCGGTCTGCATAACTACGAGGAACGGTCGTCTGCGCTTGACCACATTCTTCTTCCAAGCTTTCTGAATGTGCTGCATGGTTTCATCGACTTCCCTTTCTTCTGCAGAAAAACGAGAAACCACTATGCATCATTGCCTCAGCAGCGTTTCGACGGATCTCTGCCTCGCCATCGTCTAGGCAATAAAGTGCCTGGCACGACTACGAAGCATAGATTGCGGAGCAACACAGAAATACCGGAACTTCGATGGCAGCACCCCTGGCAGAAGCTCCGGTATCAGTTGCCGCAAGCCTCGTGAATTGTTGTGCAAAAAAAACGGCTCTGCTCATCGCTGTGCCGTGCACCTCCCTGCGAGCCAGCACTGGCTCCTACAAGCGAATCCCAAAGACAGACGCTGAGAGAGTCCGCACTAAGTCGGACCATGATTCAAGACTCCCTCAAGATTCCGAATATGCTGTGCATTGATCCTTCGGACAGATCACGGGGTGCTGTGCGCTTCGGGGGCAACCTCGGGTCAGCAAACGCCAATCTAGGCAACTTCCAGCCTTCGAGCATCGCAAAGACCAAGAGTAAACTCATCTTTACTCAAACTCGTAAACCGTAGTGCTACCGCTGAGGGCGAAGCCAGGCTGGAAGCTCTGGCGATTGCTTGCCTTGAGGGCCTGGCGGGGTCGGATTGACTGGGCGAGAGAGTCCATTCTTCAACTGCCTGCAAGGAAGAAGGTGACGCCGCTCTCCAGGTCAACCTGCAATGAAATCTAGGAGGGGTCTGCTGGAAGCTCTACTCTCCGAAGGGAGTCCCAAGCCCCGCCTGGAGCTTTACTGAGTCTACCAGCCACTTCAGCGCCTGCATCCTCAATGCTTTGCTCTGCTACAGGGCTCGACAGACACCTAGTGAAGAGCCAAGCCCCCGGAAAAGTCTGAGATGCATGCCTCATGGCATCCTGACGTTTGCGACTGCAATGAAGCAGAAAGCCGCAAATGCCTATTGAGGTCTGCAGAGCAGGAACAAACTATCGTGCAACTGGCATAGCGTGGAATCGTTCCCAATTCCGACGACTACAGTATCCAGCGTGCCCCCAAGTTTCGGGGACTCGGGTCAACGGCTGACTGGTCTTGTTGCGTGTTCTGCTTGGCAGAATTAGGACGCTTTGGTCCCCAGATCTAGATACAACAATGAGCATCACGCCGTGCTTTAAAGCTTCTAGACGCGTAAACACTAAACGTTATCAAGCTACAGCCGCAGGAGGACGCGCATCTCATGGCCTGCAGTGACCGTAGTGACGGCTTCACGATCCAGAAGCGAAGCATGTGACGCAACTTCAGTGCATTCGACTTGCCTGTCTCTTCCCGGGCGCGGCAGGCCCAACAAAGCCAGTAGAGCACTAAGAGTAGCACCAGCCCGAGCAAAGCCTTAGTAGGCAGAGGTCTGGAGTCATGTAAAGGAGAGAGCTATACCGTTCCATACTCTGGCCTGGCCCGAGCTCAGCCCACCACGACAGAATAAAGAGTTGCTCGCTTGAGGCGGGACAGCTCCCTGAGACCATGCCACCAACGCAGTTCACCTGCCAAGTGTCTTGAATGAACTGAGCAAATTGCGTTTGCTAGCAGTACAAAAAATGTCCACTGGAGAGACCTGGTGGTGCGAACAACGGAATGCCAAACACGGCAGTCGCCGTGGTGCTGGTGAATGTCGCCGAGGTTCGCGTCGACGTAGTGTGACTCGATGTTCTCGTGGAGGCCGTTGAGGTAGTTAGAGTTGAACTTGCCCTTGTTGCAGAACTGGTAGTTGGAGTTGTGCTGGTGATTGTAGATTGGGTTGCGGTGGTAGATAAAGTGCTAGACGTCACCAACTCCATGTCACATCCGTCCAAAGCCACAAAGGCGAAGAAGAATGTTCGAGTAACATCTGCTGGTGCTTCAGATCCAAATGCCAGCTCTATCTCGCCAGCATGTCCTGTCAGGCAAGCACTTCGCCTGCCACGGCCTCACACCTAGCCAGTTCCTGCACACTAGGAAAGCATGTGTAATGAAGTCATGGCTGCAGCAGTTGCCGAATAAGTCCCAGTCAAGATTCGGTACACCAGCGTCACCGTCCTACGCAGCTGACTGGCAGTGAGCTCCCGGACATAGGTCGGATTGTCGGGGCCCAGATCTGGTCCAGAATGCTCCTTGTGCAAACAGCAGGTCTCTGGCTTCTTTGCTGTAAGCCTTGATCCTACGACCTACGGCACCACCTTTACCGAAGGAGCAGTAGGAAACAGGGGCTGCCAACTTTCTGATGGTAGCCGGGCTGCGGCAGAGACGACCTGCTGCCAGTATTCTGTGATATTCCCCCTCGTGTCAAGACCAATCTCTGTTTCTGGGGACCAGTATGCCTGGTGAGGTCCATATGCCCACACATACTCCCTCAAAGCGACCGAATCTGTCTCGAGGTCGCAGATGAAGATTGGGAGATAATCTAAGCGAACAGGCCTGTCTGCAACATCCGAAACATGGATTCGTACTCGAAGCACCCGACCCCCAAACTGGTTGATGGAAGCGAACTCCCCCTCTAAGCCATTCCAGTGAGGATGCGCCGGATGGTACGGGCTCAGAGCGTGCAGTGAGATTTTCAAATCTCGTACGTCAACTCCGTGCGACCGTTGGCTCACCAAGAACACCAGCCCCTCACTGCCACCATCAGGTCCTTTGCCTGCCAAGTTGTTGTGCAGGACCGCCTTGATGGGATAGCTTTGTAACCCTTGACGGCAAGCTGTGGTGGAAGGAGCTGAATGTCCACTGACGCTTGCAACAGCAAGCTCGTTCAGGCTGACTCTAGATCCACGTGATCGAGCCCTTGGCACCAAAACAAGCTTCAGCATCTGCAGCATCACCGAAACAAGCTGTATCGGAAATGTGCCTAAGTGCCGGACGGTTGATGTCGTACCCCGGCCGAAGCTATGGCCGAGGCACAGACCATGATGAGCACAATCCCAACGACAATCCTCAAGTCATGCCATGCCACGATACAGCTCTCTCGGTAAGCTACGCATTCGGAGAGGCTTTTGCTTGCTAGCACGGTCACCACCGTCCAAGCACAACCGAGAGCATACATTATCCTACCAAGGAGCTGGAAGACAGAGCTCCAGAGCAGGGGAAACCGAGCATGTATGGGCCGATTCCAAGCCTCTTCACCTATGTGGAGAATCCTCTGATGACCCGTATTTCCTCAGCTCACCACATTATGATCGTGGCACAGCCGGCACAACGCGATTTGGATCTGCCCAGACACTGTCGATCAGAGACTGCTGCTCTTCAGCAGGTTCTCTTCTTCCAGCAGTGGGGTCACCTCGGGAGTTGTTACAGACGCAGATGGAAAAACTAATGCAAAGCACTACTCAGATGTTCCCGAAATCGACGGTCTTAAACCGCTGGCCTGTCTGCATGTCGATGGCGGCATGCATGCAACGAATGTATTGCCGTGTTTGGACTGTTGATGCCCGTGTTTGCAAGATGTACTAACAGGCAGTGATTTTCATGTGTACGAGGCGATCTTTGCCCACCGCCGAGCCGAAACATGCAGATCAGAGGCACAGAACAAACATGTGTTCCTGACAGGCGCCGAAGCTTCAGCGTCCTTAAGTGTTACGTGTGCCCTTACCGCATCTCTACTCCTGTCACTCCATCTTGTTGATGTTTATTTGCATTTGGCCGGGGTTCCTTCCGCTTTCTGGCGGGTTTGGAGGAGTTTTGACGGATGAGCCAAGGGCCAAAACCCTAAGCACTTGGCAGCACCTGTGAGCCTCTTGGCAACAGCCCCAGGCAAGGCGGCACCGGGGTCGGGGCAGGGTCGGGGTCGCACAGCCGAAAGCCGCTCATCGCTCAGGCGCTCTTGGCCTCGGAGCGCTGCTCGTTTCCGGCACGGCAGCAGCGCGCCACCGTGCAAGCGGCCTTCCGAGATTGAAGCGGTTCGCTACGGCAAGCGCCAGTCTCGGCAGTGCCAGGCCTCAGCTATGGCCTGCTGTGTCCGCTCCGGGCGGTCAACAGCAGAGCGTTTGATGGTGTCCCAGATGCTCTCCAGACAGTGCTGGGCCTGGCAACAGAAAGACTGTCTGCGATCCCTGCTGAGCTTCAGCTGGAAACCTTCATGCGGAAGTCACGGTTCTCGCTTGCAAGGATGCTGAAAAGGCCCTCCAGAAAGTGAGGCAGGAAGGAGATCATGTCTACCTGCGAGGTTTGCACGACAAAAGCTAACAGCCAGAGGGCACGGTAGCATGCAGGACCCTCTTTTTTGCCCGGCGCCTGTGGCAAGGAATCCAAGAGAACGATCCAGCCGAGCACCAATTGGCGAACCTCTGTGTTTCGCGTGCTTGCCAGGTACGGCTGCGCTTTCGGCGCATTTAGGGCCATGATTTGGCGCTGACAACACAAATACAGATCACTATTCGTTCTCTTGGAAAGCTAAGACGTGAAAGGAGCTTACAGTAACACACGCTCTCCGAGTTGACCCACGGGCCGACGTCCTGCACACTATGCCGAGATCGAGGCTAGAAAACGAACGAAGTCTTGTCACGAATCCAGCTGTGCAATTGCGAGATTGAAGCTACAGCATCCCACCAGGCAAGCTTCAAAGGCATGGTATAAGGAAGACTGCTGTCGCGAAGTTTCAAGACACTTAAAGCGATGGGAGGAAGATAAACCTGACTTGGTGTCAATTCAACAAGATCACAACAGGGGCACACGGGTTTGGGCCAACTCCGAACTGCTGCAAAAGGCGCATTCGGATTGAGGATGTGGATCCTGCATGTGATCAGAGGGATCAGCCTTGGCTGCGCAAACTAATGAGACAGTGAGGTCAGGGCTGTCCTGGAAGCAGTTCTTGTGGAGCAGTCAGAATGGGCACGAAACCCTTTCAATGTTTAGCTAAAGCATAGGCCTAGTTTTCTGGTGGATTGATGCTTACAGTACATTGATAATCATTGATAACAGTGTCAGTCCAGATGCTCTGCGAAGTCGAAATGCCGCTGCTCCATGACGATGTCACGGATGAGTCTGTCCAGGCTTTGGGCACCCTCCTTAATGTTCTGCTCGACGTCTGTGTATAGCCTGTCCAGAAGACAAGCCATGCGATGAACAGACGGTTCGCAGCAAAGTTCGACGGAAAGTGAGAAACAGCACACATGTTGCAGCGTCTCTGCCTGCAGAGACCATCGAAGACACCACTGATGTTCCGAAGAATTCCAGCTCGGATCACCTTGGCAATGTTGTAGAAAGCCTCACAGGCTTTGTATCTCACCAGGGCGTCCTGCAAGTCGGACAGAAATCTGAACTTGAACCAAGCATTCCACGCGACAAACCCCACTTCTCTCCTCATCCGAGAAACAAACCAGCACAGGATCCGTAAGCAACTCGGCATGCTGCTGGGCACGCTCCTGTTGGCCCCGAGACGAAGACCGAACTTCTTGGCTCTCCATCTCTGCCTTCTACTGCGGCGCCCTCCCCCTCCTTCTCCAGGGCGAAGGTCAGAATGCTAAGGGCGACAAGCCCCGAGGTCCGTTGGCTGGGCCTTGGGACGTCTGGCTCCTTTAGGGACGCTGCTTGATCTCTGAGTGCATGCTGTTGACTGAATATGAGGCGCACATTGGTCAGGTAACTGACGTCAAAGATCTCACTCCCCCTCTGAAACTTACCTTTGGTCAGTGGGGAATGGAGGAATGGGGTAGAATTATAACTACAATTACTGCCTTTCTTCCATTCCCTACTAACCAAAGGTAAGAAACCCTAAACCCTAAACTGAAAGCAGCCATCCCTGCCTGGTCATTTGCTTGAGAGCCGAGAGACGAGAGGCTCAGGGGCCCAGGGCACCCTATCCTTACCTTTGGTTAGTAGTTTAGGGTTTAGGGTTTAGCGGTTTGGGGTTTAAGGTCTTTGGGGTTTTAGGGTTTAGGGTTTTGGGTTTGGTTAGCAGGGAATGGAAGAAAAGTAGTAATTCCTGTTCCTGTTCCTGATCGGACTGTAGATCTCACATGGAGAGCGTCCCAAAAATGCACTGCACAAAACAAAACCCTGGTGAAACTGAGATCACACAGAGACGGCTGGACGACAAAGCCAGAACTCCGTGGCCTCGCTACGGCTGCCCTCTTTTGAGGCGCCGTCTAAGAAATCCTGGACCCAACGCAGCACTTGCACCGACGGCCTATACTGCCTCTGCAGTCGGTCCAACGTGATGGACTCGTCAGTTGCATCGCCTAGTGCCTCAGTGTAGGTTGGGGCCCTCGGCCCATACATTCGTACAGCCGGCTCGGCAGGCATAACAGCTTGCCACTGGCCTTTCCTAAGGGCTCGAACTCGCTCACGGTCCCCTTTTTCAGCTGCCTGCACCTCATCCCATGTGAGTGGCGGGAGCAGATGAACTACTCTCGCCAAGCATTTTGGTGCCGTCTTGAGGTGGTGCTGTGTCCTCGTGACTGTATGATAGAACTTGAGACACGCAAGGCAATATGGGAGGGGGACAAAATGTCTTACAACGCTGTAAACCTTATGAGCTTTGGCTTGATGGGCACCTAGGTGTTTCCTCAATCTAAAGCTGGCTTGGCAGTATCTGCACACGAAGGCTCCCTCTGAAGGAAGTGGCATGCCCTGCTGCACATGAGGCTTGCCTTGGTCCTTCCAGAGCCGGAGATCCTGCAGATAGGTCTGGCTAGCCTTCTTGACCTGCTTGACCCACCAACCTGGATCATCCTCAATGGCATGCAGAAACTCTCTTACTGGCTGCTTGTTTGCAAGGAAGCGTCCTGCCCAGTCAGAGTATGGCCTTACAGCACGGAGATCCCAGAGGAATTGCCCTAGCCAAGACTGGGACTCCGCCTCACCCCAATGTGCGTGTAGAAGGAAGAGAAGCTCCCTAGGGCCTTCCTTGCAAATGCGTGCATAGAAAACCGCTCTGGCACTAGCAAGCGCAAGAAGGGGAGACGGAGCGCCTGCCTCTAGGAGCACTTCAAAGCTATGTTTCTGGTCTTCTGGCTTTGTGCGCCGCTGCAACCCTCTCCAGAGGAGGATATAGCACTGGCACCATCTGCGCCTATGTTGACGTGCCTGGAGCACCAAACTGGCGCTGGCGAACACAAAACGGGATAGAACCAGAGAGCGAAGAAGAGTACGCCTTATTGTTAGCGGAATGCCACCGGCAGCGAACAGCTTGTGATGAAGAGGACGTAGGGAGCCTTGTGCATGTGCGTACCGATACTGGATTTCAGCCGCCGGCGTGGCATTAGCCACCGCGATGCTTCCCAGATGACGGTAGCTGGCCACTACTGGTAGCCGATGACTGGCGTGCGTGATGGCATCGCGCACCTGGATGTAGTATCCGCCATCCTCGTCTCGCTGCACGATCCCGGCGTCATCATTCGCCCGAGGACAGTTGGCTGACAACAATACTGCGGTTTTGTCGGTGGCAAAAGTCAACTCCATGCCATTCGCCGTGGCGTGTGTCAGCAGAATGCCCGTGGCTTGGGCAACTGCCCCACACAAATCTGCAGCCTTTGGGCTCATCTGCATATGCGTGTAATCGTCAGCCCATGCTAGACAGCCAATGTCTGGTGTTGTCTCATCCCCTAGACCGTCAAAGCTAGCAGTGGCCGGGGGAACCCAGGTCGATACACCACTATCAGCGAGGGCTTGATGTGCACTACGCAAATACGCCGCAAAACTGAATGCAAAGAGCATGTCCGCCAATGGGTCCCCTGGCCGCGTACCCTTACGGGTCGCGACCAGGGGCCCGGCGGCATCCATCCTAAACCAGCTTCCTCGGAACAGGTCGCTGATCTGCGCCTGTGTATGCTCATCAACGCCCGCTTCCGCCAGGGTAGCCATGCTGCCGAGATGAGCTGTTAGCTCAGCCAAAGCGTGGCCCGGCACTTGCAGACTATGCAGCACACGCAAGAAACCTTCGTCAGACATATCCTGTTCTGGAGGCAGCAAAGTCTGACGTATCACTCTGTAGAAAGCCGCCCGAACATCGAAAAACGTAAGGGCAGAAGCATAGCGCAAGTGATGGGCGCGGAGCTGATATGTCCGGGCTAGCAGTGTAAGCGTGTCCACGCCTGTGCCTGGTAGCTGACCTGCCTGCAGAGAGGGCTTGTAGGCCTGGAAAGCCCCAGCCAACTGATTGCGCAAGAGGCGGTGATGCGCCTTTGAAGCAACGCTAGACAGCAAAATCGATCTGAAGGCTTTGCATTCATATGCCGCCAGCGCACGCTTGGCCAATGTCATGAGCGCTCCGCCGCGCCACTCGCTGGGCTCACGCACTCCGATCGCTGCTTTGAGTGCCACAGGATATAATGCCCGGGCAGTTGCCGGAACGGAAACTCTAAGCAGCTCTCCCGTCAAACCATCTGGTCCGCTGGCTTTCCCATACTTGGCCGTATGGTACTGCTGTTCCAGCGCACCTAGGGTGGGGAGAGCACTGAGCACAAAGATTGGTCCTTTGGGCAAAACGGGCACATCTGGTTGATGGAAGGCAGCAACATACTGCTCCGCAGTGACCTGAGATCCCAGTTCCTGCTCCTGGAAAAACTCTGTCCACCTTTGTACCCTGGCCTCTGGCGTCTGGACCATTTGTCCTTGGGCATCTCGAACCGCAGGTAAAGGCTGGAACCTGGTGCGCCGAGCAGAAGAAGCTTGGGGAAAGGCTCGCCTCACGGAGGCAAACAAGGCCTTGGGCCTGCGCAGGTCCTGAAGAGTGATATCCTGAACCAAACCTTCTAGGTAGGCAATCCTATCCCTCTTGACTGCTGCCTTGATGGCAAAGGTGAGTTCCTGATACCGCTCAAGAGCGAGTGCAAGGCTGTGGTCCACATCGCCCAACCAAGTATTAGCCAGTTGCAGTTGGCCTGTCGCAAAGGAAGCGGCTCGTTGGTGGAGAATAAAGGCCCCGAAAACGACAAGCAAGAGACGTCGTTGGCGCTCCTGCTCCTCATCCCGGATATAGCTCCGGTATGCTTTACGGACCTGAACCAACTCCAACGTCGCCGCTGTCAAGTAAGAGTTGGTGGCCCTGACCGACCGTTCCGGACTCACAGCGGTCGCACAAGCAGCCAGAGTGGCTACCTCATGGTGATAATGCGAGTCAATGCTGGCATGCCAAGGAACGAGGGATCGCTTATCCATGGCCTCCTGAAAAGAGCCGCGCAAGTGTGGTGCTAGATCCCGGGGAGGTCGGATAGCTTGCCTCTTGGCTGAGGAGTAGGCTTGGGCCGGCTGAGCCTTGCAGAAACTACTGCGGTAGCAGACCGGGGCGTGGTCTTGTCGGGCTTGGAGTGCCTCTAGATGGTACCAGACCATAGTTTCATGATGGAAGGCTTGCCAGTCCAGAGGCACACAAACGTAGTCCAATCGATGTCTCACGCCGTGTTCGCCTGGAGAGGCCCACGTCCAGTGATCCCCCTGATGGAAATCACTAAAAGTAGAAGGAACAAATCCCGAAATCTGCTGCAGGTAGCGCTGGAAACACTCTCCCTCTGGGTTTTCCTCTTCGGCCCCTGCCTGACCTACTCCAGTAGCCGGCACACTTCCTATGTGGGCATTGGCGTCTGCCAATACGAGGAAGTCCGCGCAGCCTGGTCGGTGCGCGAGATCAGCTGCTTTGTCGGTCCAAAACCGTTCTACTTCCTCAAAGCCCTGGGCCGCAGTCCGTGGCCCATGCAACACTTGCACAACCAAACTCAGGCGTGGTGCATCTATGCGCACCTGTAGATGGCGGCAGGAGCTATGTGTGACTACCACGTGTTCTTTCTGGACCTTATAAGCACGCTGTGCATCACGTGCATAGGCATGCTGCAAATTTATCCAGAGGGCGCAGCCATGGTGACCACGCTGATCAGCGCCAGCGCTGAGCATCAGAAAGTCCCCATCCGGAAGAACAGAGCTATCTGGAAGCCTAGTCTCCTGCAGGCCTACCAGCCAGATGCCGGCCGCTAGAAACTGACGTTTCAGAAGATCTCTTTTGCCTGAGATGAGAAGACCAGTGTCCGCTTGACGCTTGCTGCGACCGTGTGGGGCAGTCGGATCGAAGAGAGTCAGCACATTATACGTAACTGCCGTAATGTCATAAATGACATCGGCAGCCTGGCATCTTTGGATTTGTGTACCCAGACTGGGCGGCCATGGATCCTCTTGCAGCTGCTGCATGCGGCAAGCTTCAGATTCCAGGGCAGCAAGGGCGGGATACTCTGGACTAGAAAGGTGTGCCATCCATCCCCATTGTGCAAGCGGATGGGAAAACCATCGGGCGGGCCACTCAGGTAGACACCGCTGGTAAGGATCTGCTGGGCGGTTTCTGGCAAGCTTGGATAGAAGATCACACAGTTCGTTTCCGGGCTCCCCAGAGTGCCCGCGGACATGCGCATGTCGGACTGTGATGCGGCTCTCCAAAGTACAGCGGAGCTGCACCGCAAAAGAGCCTAATGTGCAACCT